ACAGTGTGCAGTCAAAGTTTAAAGTGCAAATGTGATCTTAGAGAGCCCCCTGCAGGTCACAATATGGCACAGTCGTTTTAAAGCACTGCCGTGGTGCCAGATGTCAGGCTGCGACAGACTCCTCAGTGCCAGATGTTCTGATGTCTGATTCTCCGCCTTTTTCAGTTGTTTATCATCCTCAGGTGGAAGACCATTTTCGATCACCATCCTCTCCAGAAGGTTACACTCAAAAGCATTTCTAAACTGTTTATTGAGGTGTAACAATATATAACAGTGCAATACAACAATATTGTAGTTACATCTCTTTTACATATGAAAAACATTAACAAAATACAACATAAAAAAGAATATAACAGGTTATTTCTGGTAGTAACAATAAGAGAAGTTGAAAATATAAAACATGTATACAAGGCAATACAACAAATAATGTTTCAAAATGGTTAATTTAAGTAAAACTAAGAAAGGGGGATGGGAGCTTGTTAGAAATTGAATTCAAACGTTTTTCTCTCTCTCTCGCTCTCACATCCAGATTACCACCAGTCTTGAGCAACAGGTCACAGAGTCCAGTCTGTGTGAAAGGAACACCACAGCTGGCCTTAGCACTCAGGGTGAGGAGGATGCAAATCGTATTTGTTAACAAATACAAAGTCAGAGGTTTTTCCGTTCTGTAGTGCATGTAGATTGAAAGACATTTTTTGTTCAAATCTTCTATTTTCAACATTAGCATAATGTGTCTGTAATGTTTGATGGAATAATAGCATCAGGACCCAGGTTTTGCTATGGAAATAGATTGTACTTACTACCCTTCAAAAGTCTGGTGTCAGTAAGATGTTTTAATGTCTTTGAAAGAAGTATCTTATGCCTACCAAGACTGTGTTTATTTGATCAAAAATACAGTAAAACATTTGAAAAAACATAACAGAAACATAATTTGAAATATTATTACAATTTAAATTATTTGTCTTCTATTGTAATATATTTTAAAATGTAATTTATCACATGATCCTTCAGAAATCATTACTGACCCCAAACGTTTTGAACGGTTTATTTAAGATGTGACCCAACATAGTACTCATATGATTCAGCAAACATTGAAGTTTATTAATAATATCATGAATTGCACAAGTCCAACTATATGCTAAATTATTAACTTGAATTAAGGTGCGGTCACATTTGCTGTTGCTTGGTAAAAAAAATTTGAGCAAAATCCAGTCATTCCAGTAGTAATCTGCACGATCAGCATGTTTCGCATGAGGGCGGAAAAGTTCATCACACATGTTCAAGTTGCTCACTGACCAACAGAAAGTTGCTTGGTTTAAAACTGACTTCTGTGTGAGCTGTGCTTTATACCTGTACACATCTATTGAATAATACAAATGGTATTGGCTAATATGACTGAATAGGAAAATTGACAATTTTGTAAATGCACAAACTGCAACACAAGTGAGATTAACTAGCCTAACAAATTGATTCATATTTAAACTGTAAGAATATTCCACAATATTACTGTATTTTTGAAACATTAAATGCATCTTTTGTGAGCATACTGTAAGAGGCTTCTTTCAAAACATTACAAATCTGGCAGACTTCAAACTTTAGAATGGTAGTGTTGTTGCATTCAGACAAAACACTCATTTAACAAATTCAACAGCCTTCAGTCATTATAGGTATATGACAATAATATAGTCTTTGTTCCCATAGCCTCTGTTGATAGTGCTTCCCTTATGGTGTCTGAGACTGCAGACATCCCTGATCACAGCTGTTCCTCTGAAGACCTGTGTTCTCTAGAAGTACAAGGCTCTGATTCCTCTCCATATGGCACTTTACACATCGTGCCTACTGATGGTAGCTGCACAAGTCTGGATCACTCTCTGAGGCGGCAGACCCCTGCTCGACTGGACCACAGCGAGTCCTCTGTCACGCAGGATTCCAAGCCCCACTCTCCCCAGCTGTCACTTGATGCTGTTAACGTGCCTGAGAAGGAGGAGATTACAGGCGTTAAACCCACATCTCGCACGCAGCACAGAGAACGAACCAATAAGAAGCTTACCCTTCTTTTCCCTCCAAGCACACCATCCCAATGTGCTTCCAACTCAGCAGTGACCTCCACTGCCGCCACAGCTTCTGCTCTGACCCCCTCCGCTTGCACCTCTCCGTCACCCACCGCTCAACTGCGGGGAACCCGGCTATGCTTCAGCGTCTGGTCCCCATCCTCCTCTTCCTCACAGCCCCATGCTACCTCTGCCCTCAGCAACCCCAGTCAACGTGAGCGGCCCCGCACACTCCGTGCCACTAAAGGGTATCGGAAGCTGGCGAGGATTGTGCGTTCCACTAGTGAACCCATATCCTGTAATTCCATATCTAGAAGTACGTGAGTCTTTTTTCTCTCTGTGGCTCTATAGTTTTTTTTTTACTTCATTCATTCTAAACCCTAGGTTAACAGAATCCTAGCTTAGCTTTTTCTATGTTTCACACTGTACATTTGTAAACCCCAAGTTAATGCTCTTATTTGCCGGGGCAGTATTATTGATCGGACGAACGCAATACACACACACCTGTTTGAATGGCGGCTTGTCTTACTCTTGCACATCAGTTGGGCTTATATGGATTTATTAAATTGATCAAAAGTGACAGTAAAGACTAAGAAAAAAATATTTAATGAGGCAAGTGCTATTCAGTTTATTATTGGTTGGACTGGCCATTACATTCTAACACTATATAATTTCACACGGTACAACTTTTGCAATGCAGGCTTAATGCTACAAAAGTAGGACTGAAGCTTCTTCAGTGCATGTTTTCATAACTCTTTGCAAACTCAAAACTACAAGTGTTTTTATTTTTTTTTATTTTGTTTTAATTAAAAATGTTTGTTTAAAAATACAATAAACCAGATTAAGCTCATTATGAAAGCCACATACATCATGTAACTTGTTGAGTTTATATAATCTTTGCTTTGTTGTAGGTAGAGGAAAAATATGATATTTGCAAATTGCAGACTCATATTAAATCCTTAATAACCCATAAGCAATCTTGACTTGACTTGCAGGTGAGCGTTGTGCTCCTGCTTCTAACCATCCACCTGAGGACTCCCCACAGACTCCCTATGATCAAGGTTGCACCTCTTTTCTGTTTTCCATGTAACATAGTTATTCATCTCAAGTAAAATTATGGTTATTAGAATAAACATACTAATGCATTGCTTTTAACAGCATGTATAGAGCTCTCTGAGAGCGCCCGACACCCTTCTGCCAAACAAAGCAGCCAAGGGGGCAAGAAGCAGAAGGGCGGTGGAAAGGTGGACATCCAACTCAAACCTCACATCCCTCACTCAATGTCTACAGAACGGCCGCAGTCTCTCGCAGACCTCAAAACTTACAAAGACACCAAAGTGCTGGTGGCCAAGTTCCTGGAGCACTCGAGCTGCAGTCTACCTCCGGAGGTCCAGCAGGTGGTCAACAGCATTAAATGTGTTATTAAATCTGATGAGAAACACATGGAGGAGGCCATTTTCAGTGCCAGTATCATTGATCAGGTGAATTTGGTATATTTTTGTGTAGAAAACATAGTATTCACCCTATGATCTGAAATTAATACATTTACACAGTTTCACTTATGCTTAGTTGAAAGTGAAAAATCACAACTGAATTACATTGGGGATGTTTGTTTTTCTCATATTCTTCACATAGTTGATGACACAGTCACAGAAGACCATGGGCAGCCAGAGGAAGCATGCTCACGAAGACCTGCATTTACAGAGCTGTGGGGCTTTGAGTTCCCCATCTTCATCCTTGCGCCGTCCACCCAGAGGATCCAGTCAGACAGATGCCCCTGCTCCCCTGGATCATCAGCCTCAAAGCCTCATCAGTGTATGCAGAGAAACTACACTTTGACCCTCCAGACTACAAACACCCTTTTCCTCATAATCCTCTGAATATGTGCCAAGGCCAAGTCCTCATCAGCAGAAAACTGTAGCTCTTGAAAAACAAACAAACAAAAAAACAGTGAGTTAACATGGAGTCGATGCTCTCTCTCATATGTTAAAAAAGATACTCAAAAAAAAATCAATAAAGAAACAACAGTGTTTACCTTCAGGGGTATATATTTTTATTTTATTGTCAGAAAAAAAGGTCAAATATTTGTTAAAGTGCTGAATTTGCTACTGTGCTAAATAGGTGATTGGGTCTGTAATGGACCATAGAAGATGACAACATGGATTTACCTCTTCATGAAACCTTTTTTTTTTTTTTTATACACAGCTTCTGCAGACATTATGTGAAATATTGGACATGCTTGGTCATTGTGTGCCCCTGGAGGACAGAGACCTTTATGAAGCTGGATTATTCAACTTACCTCAGTGTGTAATTATTTTCTGTGTTGCAAAATAAAAATGTGTCTGTTTGTATTTTTTCTGTTATAGATTAATATTTTAAGACACTCAGGTCATTGTTTGTTTGAGTGAGTTACATACTACTCTAACAGGGTCTTGAGTGTTTGTGTGTGCTTAGAACTTTTGTAACGGGCCCCAAACAAAGAGCAGGTTTATTTCAGGTTTATCTTGCTTCAGTGAAAATCCTGGCTCAGCAGCATTTGCTCTGCTCAAAATCTTTGTGGCTTTTATTTGTTACACTACTTGTTTAATTTGCAAGTGCAACTACTTGTTTAAATCATCTGTAGATAGGCATTTACTGTGGCTCTTACACTTTATAGCCTCAACTAGCTGATATATTCATATCAACCTCAGGCATTAAATAAATGTATTTATTTTATATTTTTAATCATCTACAGAAAAACGACATAATGAGCAACATCCCGGAATAGGTAGGGCAAATGCAACATTTTGGCTAATGAGAACGTTAAACTTCTTGTGCCATATACCCCACCTTCTCTTATTATTTGAGCGTCCAATTAAAATTGAGCGACAGAAGCAGTTACGCCCACAGCCAATCAGATACGTCTAAAGTGTACGGTAGTATTCACGGATTGGTTGTTGTAGCTGTCAATCACGTTTCTCTGTACACCTTACACGCTGGACGACGTTTTTGGCTCTTTTTTTTTTTTTTTTTACAGCCTATTTTTTTATCGAGACGTCCAACCTGGCAGTTAGATATACAACAAGATAAGGACACGATTTCGGAATATGATCTTTTGCTGACGCGTTTACTTATGTGCGTAAGTACAAATACACTGTGTTTGCGCATGCATTCTGCAGGACCGAGAACAGAGGAGGAAGGCTGGAGTTGAGTTACAGTACTAGCGAACTCTAAAGCTAGCGGTGTATGAATAGTCTACCCTGCATGGAATTTCATTCAGAGACGCGTTAAACACATCGTCTCGGTTTGTTTATTCTGTGCTGTTTTAAATCAGGTGCACAACAATATGCACTGTAAAGCTGGCCTTGCTGGCGATGTCAGGTGTAACGCTAACGGTCTAATAGCCTATTAGTGCATTGTTGCTAATAGTAATAGATTTGTTTACATACTCAATTTCGAGTTGGTTTGTGTGCTTGTCATTGTGTGTTTAGAAGAAATCGGTATCGCGTTGTTGAACTGAAGCTAACGCGCGGCTGTTACTCCACGCATGCTACTTTAGCGAGGTTATAGCTAACATAGCCTACAGCCGAACCGTGCATTCAGAAGTGTATTTATCACACGAGCATGACGGCAGAGATGACCGTAACCGAATAAAATGCGTTATTAAGTGCTGTAGGATCAGGCGGAGAACGGAAAGCTCATGGCTGGGCGCCGTTAGCTCGCTTCAGCTCTCATAGGCCACGTCGCCTGTGTGTGTGTCGGTGTGTTTGATCTACTGACAGTGGCGTTGCATGAATGCAAACAACGAAAAGCTTGAAGTCGCCAACTGTGCGGAAGGGATACGAAGGAACCGTCAAAGTAGTTGTCACCAACTTCAGGACTCTTCAAGGTTGCTGTAGGCCGAATGGGGAAGAACAGAAATCTTTCAAGATAGATAATTTAGCAGAGCAGTGGCCTCATCAGTAGTTTCTTGTTTTTACGTGCGGCGCTCACACAAAGCCAGAGTTCGTAATCTGTGCGCCTCTTCGATTACGCGATGATCGGCTTCGGCGCGAATCGACGTGGAGGTCGCCTCCCGTCCTTCATCCTGATTGTGTTATTGGTGATTATCGTCATTTTGTCGTTTAACTACTGGAGCGTGTCCACTAAGCACGGGCGGCTGCTGGACGAGCTGGCCGAGATGCAGACGCAGGTGAAGCGCACGGACGCGGCGCGCTCGCGCCTGGAGAAGAGAAACTCCGAGCTGATGATGCAGGTGGACACGCACCGGCAACAGATCGATCAGAAGGACGGAGACTACAGCGTGCTGGAGAGCAAGCTGCAGGCCAAGGATGCGCTGGTCAAAGCCTGCACCGATGAGAAGGTGGGTGAGGGAAAAGGAACACGAGGGTTTCCTTTATAAATACATACACATCACTACTGTGCTGTATGAAGTGAACATGCATTATAGATTTACCTTCTGTCTGTGTTTCCAGCCACTGTCATGCCTTACATCTTTGCAAATGATTGTTTTGCTTGGGTAACGTTACTTTCTGACCGAACTGATCAGGGGTTTTCAAAATTTACAGACATCCCAACCCAGACTCTCAGCCAACATGGGACCTTCAGTATGAAAGGCTAGATTTTCTCAGTAACACTTAATTACTTTAATTGACAACTTTCATTATCATCACATTTTATCATAGTGAAAGACCCATTTGTCATCCAGACCAATAAACTGGCAGATATTTGGCCATTTTCAAGGTTTTTGGCATCTTTTTCAAATCCAGTTAACCAATGGATAATGCACTGTTTTTCACATATTTTTGTGAATTGAATGAATATTGCATAAACATGTTTGTTTAGCAAATGCTCAAATTGTTAGAACCATTAGTTGAGAATGTGTCATTATGCTGAGCTGACCATCGGCCACTGTTACATATAATTCTTTGCAGAGTTGTAGATATTATGCAAATATGAGGGCATTCTATGTTTATCTTCAATATGGATAGATGGTTAAAATAATGACTCCAGGTGGCATTATCTAAAACAATGCCTAACCATGGCTGGGGTTCCCAAAATTATCGTAAGCCTATGTTGATCGTAGAACCAATTGTCTCCAATGAAGCTACGATCAATTTAGGATTACGGTGCTTTTGGGGAAACGCAGCCCATGGCAGTCTCTCTATTATGATCAGTGCACATCCTGTAAGTCTGTTTGTTTAGCCCTTTGGTCATTTGGAGAAGGTTTAATTGTTACTGGTTTTGCTTCGTTAATGCAAACAAAAGTTGTGTAGGCGATTGTCTTGTCTAATAGTGCCTTGTTTCAGGAAACATTCAGTTTTTCCAGAAGTATAGTATATATATATGTTTCACTGACCAGGTTTTTTTCATACACCGTTAATTTAAAAGCAGATTACATACATACTTTCTCTAAAGAAGCAGGCAGTTTGCTGATATTCACTGTTCCCTTTGTGCCTGTCCTACTAGTTGTGCCTGCAGATAAGGCAGTTTTCCTTTTGTGTGACGTGTTCAGTCAGCAGGCTGCGTGACAGACGGCAGCACTGACTTTTTCTGTGCTGCTTTACTTTCAGTGAAACAGGAATATATACAGGCTTCGCATGAAAATTCTGTCCACAAACTATATATAAAATGTAAAAATATGGGTGTTCACCTTTAAGATGTTTGTGATAAGTTGCTCTTTTTGAGTAAAAAATGAGTGTCTTGATATACTGTATATCCCCGCACCATTAACATCAGTACACTAAAAATGTGAGCTGACAGGACAGAGAGCATCCTGCCATGCTGCTCTTTATGGATTCAAGCCGTGGGCTTCCCTGTGGTTGTGTGACACAGCTGAGAACTCATGGTCAGGGCTCATCTGTGTGCCCAGGGCTGTGAGAGCCCCCCTCCACGCTCCTTCACGTCTCCAGGTCTTCCTACACTGCCCTCTGTCTCTCTCTTTGTTCTTGATATTATATCAACATAATTGTTGGGAATGTGTTGTTACTAAGGCTAAAAAGCAGTCATGATTGCTAATTTTGTTAATAACATTTAGGAGGAATATGTATTTTAAAAGTAATTTAAATGACATTCATTCCATTTATTGCTCTATAGCACTCCTGTTTCCTCTCCATTGTCATTTTCAACCTATGATTTACAGTAAATGGATCAATTGCCTTGGTTATTGTGAGAAGAGGGTGATGTGGAAAATTTCACTTTTGCAGAAGCTCGATTTTGAGGCCCATTTCTGCCTAGGTTTTGTCTACCTGGAATGAGGTATATGAGCATTGATATTCCATGTGCATTTGGATGCCCTGTACTTTTATAGATTGTTGCTGTGCTGCAGCAAATGTTTGGTCAAATTGCTCGCTCAGGCCCCTTTACAGATTATTACCCTTTCACATGCGTTGCCTATAGCAGTACTTGTAAAATGTGTTCTTGTTTTAGGAGGTACCCTGAAGCTTTGCAACCTTGTACAGTCTGAATTAACTGAAAATGTTGATTTATAGCATGCGTCCTGCTGTATTTTAGCTTTCAGAAACAAGAGACCAAAATATGCAGATGAGCTGAAGGCCACTGTCAAAGAAACCTGGGCTTCCATATCACCTCAGCAGTGCCACAAACTGATCACCTCCATGCCACGCTGAATTGAGGCAGTAATTAAAGCAAAAGGAGCCCCTACCAAGTATTGAGTACAGTATTGATGTACAGTAAATGAACATACTTTCCAGAAGACCAACAATTCACTAAAAATGTTTTTTTTATTGGTCTTATGAAGTATTCTAATTTGTTGAGATAGTGAATTGGTGGGTTTTTGTTAAATGTGAGCCAAAATTATCACAATTAAAAGAACCAAAGACTTAAACTACTTCAGTCTGTGTGCATTGAATTTATTTAATACACGAGTTTCACAATTTTAGTTGAATTACTGAAATAAATGAACTTTTCCACGACATTCTAATTTATTGAGATGCACCTGTATAAGGCATGCTAATTTTTCTTTAGTTTGTTTAAAGTTCCCAGTCACACTTTAGTTTAGGGACCAATTCTCACTATTAACCTCAAACTAATTTGCTGCTTATTAATATTTAGTAAGGTAGTTGAAAAGTTTAGGATTAAGGGATCCAGACTAAGGATTAAGGTAGGGGTGTGCAATATGACGATTTTTGATCGTGGACGATAAAAATGTCTCCACGATCTGCTTTTGGAGAAATATCTTGGTATCGTGCTACAGCGCACATTCTATCAGTTGCAGTTCTGGTGCCTCCGGCTCAATATACTGTACAACGCCACATACATTTACATCAGTGTTAACTCTGCGGTAGAGTTACTCGCACAGGACACTGCACTTATGCACAATCACAAAATTACATTATTTGTTTTAAAGCCTTGGCAGTTAAACATTTCATATGCTTGCTGTTCTGATGCGCTTTTCCAGTGCGTACACCTGAAGCGCGTGCACACAAAAAATCTGTCAAATAGCGCCTAATTACTGAACTAAGTTATGTATTGCATCTGATTGCGCTAATACTGTCAAAAACACACAAGGTTTACATATAAACACAGTTGCTTATGTCTAAAGTGAAAGTAAACAATTGAGAGAAAAACAGATGCGTGCCTGTATATTAGATGCGTGCAGTTCTTAAAGGGACAGTTCTAAACATGCTGCCGCTTGTCATTAAAGGGATAGTTCACCCAAAAATGATAATTCTGTCATTATTTACTCGCATGTTCTCCCAAACCTGTATTAATTTTTCTTGTGCTAAACACAAAATAAGATATTTTGAGTAACCAAACAGCAGGGGTGTGAAGTAACGAATTACAAATACTCACGTTACAGTAATTAAGTAGTTTTTATCAGTAATTGTACTTTTTTGAGTGGTTTAAAAATTGTGTACTTTTACTTGAGTACATTTTAAGTGATGTATCGGTACTTTTACTCTGCTATTTTCCTCTGTTTGTGGTCGTTACATGCTTATTTTAATTTTATTTTTATCCATCAACGTGATTGGATAGATAGTAATAGGTCTCGTGACTTTCGTCAAATCAAATTGTGCATAGAAAACTTTAACCGCCAACTGTTTATCATGGCTGCTGGAAGTTTACTCTACTCACACTACATTTTTGGAAGGTAATGGTACTTTTACTTGAGTATATTTTTTCAGTACTCTTTCCACCACTGCCAAACAGTAGCTGGTCCCCATTTAATTTAATAATATAACATTCAACAGAAAAAAGAAACTCAGTCAGGTTTAAAACAACCCGAGAGTGAGTAAATTATGGTATAAAAATAAAACACTTTGACAGACATGACAGAATTTTCATTTTTGGGTGAACTATTCTTTTAATGTTAATAAAACAACAAAACACAAAGAGAAAAATCACTCACTGCTCTTGACTGAAGAACTTTAATACAGTTGCTTTCATTAGAATCAATGTGCAATTGATGTATATAGTGTTTCACTTTTTATATCTGTCAATTCAATACTGCTAAATACACCTACTGTACCTGAAAAATAAAGCACTGTTTGTTTTATTCGTATTATGTTTATTTATAATGTGTATATTTGTTGTTATTTTTTAATAACAAAGATAAAAATCATTGTCATTATTTTATCTTTGCTCATTTTGGCCTAAATATCTGCCATTTTTAAAATTATTTTATACTTTGTTACCTTGAAAGGCTTTGTTTTAAAAAAAGGGAAATTAGTTTGGCTGTACTGCTGAGACAACTTGCAAAATAGTAAAATCAACATGACAAATAATGGTGATAAAATAGTGAATCATGATATTTCTGAAAAAAATTGTGATATGATATTTTTGCCATATCGCCCAACAGGGCTGCACGATAAATCGAAATGAAATCGCGATTAGGCAGAAGCTGCGTTTGTCATGCGTATCGTTCAGTGGAGCACGGTTCTGTGATCTATAGCCTTGATTTAAATTTTAAATGCTTTAAATTTGAAAAAGATTTAAATGCTTTCATTGATTCAACGGGACTAATAGACACACGACTATGGCAATATATGGTTTATATGAGTTCTTATGGTTATAATTTTCATTATAATAAAGTATGTCTATTAGAGCCCGACTGATATATCGTTTAGCCGATATTATCGGCCGATATTGGCGACCTGGATGAAACGCTTTAAAGCTTAAGTCTATGGAAAACCATTGAAACTTTGAACGGCCATATCTCCGTGACGGCGCGGCAAATCCGCACCAAATTCGGGGGATCCCTTCAGCTCGAGGAACCCTCTCGAACGCGAATCGAGTGTACGTCTCGAGGCCCTCTTTGGAATGAGACAATCCCCGCGTCGATAGTCCCGGGATAGGGATAGGGTTCGGGAGTTACGGGCGGTTAAATTCGCGGTCCGGCGCCGACCGATCTAGCGATCCCGGGGAGCTACCGATGCGCAGAGGGTGGCGTTCGCGAGGGCTCCTCGAGCTGAAGGGATCCTCTGAATTTGGTGGAGATCCGCCGGCGTGTTCGCGAGATAGTGACATCAGCCAACACTTTCACTTCAGTAAGGGAGGTATCTTGTTCAGGCAGCAGCATTCAAGCGTCGTCATATTCGACCATAAGTGCCCCGCGAAGTGGACTTCACATGATATTCCGCCATGATTCCAGTTCCAAGGGAACGTACATGTTGCATTCAAAGGGCATTAAAGTGCGCGAGACGTGAATTTACATTTATTTACAGAGGTAAATTATCACACTTCACACCGTCTGTGTGTGAAGACAGTAGCGCAAATCCATGAATGAATGTTCC